TCCCCAAAGCTCAAGGGATGCTGTCCTGGCTGTGGCATCCGCTGGGATACACCTCTGGGCTGGGCTGTTTCCCCTGTGAGGTGTGGGAAGGTTTGGGAGGACTGGGAGCTGTAGTGGCCCTGGTAGAAGAGGACATGGTGGTGGCACCATCCTGCCAGGGCTGCTGACCTCGTGCCCCTCTTTGCTGCAGGGTGGACATCGTCCATCTCGCCCTCTACAACCTGGGTGTGCAGAGCAAGAAGAAATACTTTGACTTCGAGGAGATCCTGGCCTTTGTGAACCACCACTGGGACCCTCTGCAGCTTGGGAAGGTACAAACACACCTTGGGCTGGAGAGCAGCCATGGGAGTGAGAAATGTCACCCAGTGCTTGTGCAGCACTCAGCATGGCAGCTCCTGCTCCAGAGGAGCTTAATCCCCTTCCTCTGCTGGGATTTTCCTCGTTGGAGTGTCAGACCTGACACCTTTCCCAGCGGGAGTAGAGCTGGGAGAAGCGCTCACAGCAAGGCGTGGTGTCCCTGTCCCCGGGGCAGGACGGGGCGGCTCCCCCAGGAGCCAGACCCGGGCCTTGGCTCCCTCCCTCCCTCCCAAGGGGACCCTCTCCCTTCCTCTCCCTTCCTTCCTCCCTCCCTCCCTCCCGGCCCCGGGCAGGAGCCGAAAGCCGGAGTTCGGGTTCCCCCGTCTGTTTGGATTTTGCATAACCAGAGCGGGCACTGAGCCCTGCCTGGCCTGTCCCGCAGCTCACGGGCACCCCGATCTCCGAGCGCGGCCCCCACCTCCTCAACGCCCTCAACAGCTACAAGAGCAGGTGAGAGCCGGGGGGGATGGAGGCACGGTGGGATGCGGGATGCTCCCGTGCCAGCCCCCTGAGCGCTGCCCCCTCCCCTCTGCGCCCAGGTTTCTGTGTGGGAAGGAGATCAAAAAGAAGAAATGCATCTTCCGCCTGCGGATCCGCGTCCCCCCGAACCCCCCCAGCAAGGTGCTGCCGGAGAAAGCCCCCGGCGAGGCCGAGAGCGGCTGCTGCGAGCTGAAGAAGCGGGGGAAAAGCAAATACGCCCATAAGGACAGGTGAGCGGCCCCGGGCACCCCGCAGCAGCAGCAGCAGCAGCAGCAGCAGCAGCAGCAGCAGCAGCAGCAGCCCCCTGCCCGTGCCCCCCTGCTCACGCCCTGTTTGCAGCCTCCTGCCGCGGCAGCTGCAGCAGCAGAAGCGAGCGCGGCGCAAGAGGGCCAAGTTCCTGCTGGAGGATGCCATTCCCAGCGTGAGTGCCTCTCCCTGTCCTCCCGGCGCTGCCCAGCCCTGCTCCTGCCCGCAGCCCTGCCCCGCTCCCCGGGGAGAGTCCTGCCCCTGCCTTTGGGAAGTGTCGCTCGCCCAGGCCGCTTCCCAGGGTGCCAGCGGCGGGGTGTGGGCACCCCCCTGTGCCAGGCAGGGGGGAGTGAGCTTGTTTTTGTGACAGAGTGACTTCACCTCGGCCTGGAGCACCAACCACCACCTGGCCAGCATCTTTGACTTCACTCTGGATGAGATCCAGAGCCTGAAAAGGTCCGTGCAGCCCGGCCAGGGCTGGGGGGGCAGGGTGCTGCTTGTGCCAGGCTGGGGGCCGTGCTGCATCCCAGCCTGTCCCATGCCACCCCATCCACAGTGCCAGCTCGGGACAGACTTTCCTGTCGGACGTGGACTCCACAGATGCCACCAGCACCTCGGGCTCGGCCACCACGAGCCTCTCCTACGAGTCCAGGTGAGGACTGTGCCCCTTGCCCCCTTTGGAGGGGTCCTGGTGGCATGGCCGGGGGGTGAGGACCTGTATCTCCCCTCTTTTCCCACCCTGGGGAGCTTTTCCTGCCCTTGCCCCAAAACGTGCTGGGGGTCCCAGAGTGGCACTTGCCGGGGGTGCAGGATCAGAACCATCAATCCTTGCTGGGCTCCCCCAAATTCCCAGCTCCCTCCAGCAGCCAGCCCGGTGGGCGGGGGGGTTGCACCTTTTGTGTGCTGCCCTCAGCGCTGCCCTGTGCCCTCCCCGGCAGCCGCAGGACCGTGGGCAGCCGCAAGCGCAAGCTGGCAGTGCCAGCCTACGCCTCGGGGGCCAAGAGGAGAGGGGCCGAGCTGGGCGGGCGCCCGGCCGCCGCCACCCCCGAGGGCAGCGAGCCTGCCGCCGGCCCCGAGGACGCCATCGACAGCCACACCTTCGAGAGCATCAGCGAGGACGACTCCTCGCTGTCCCACCTCAAGTCCTCCATCAGCAGCTACTTCGGGGCCGCGGGCCGGCTGGTGTGCGGGGAGAAGTACCAGGTGCTGGCACGGCGGGTGACGCTGGAGGGCAAGGTGCAGTACCTGGTGGAGTGGGAAGGCACCACCCCGTACTGAGCCCCCGCCAGCCCCGAGACCTCTCCCGGAGCCGGAGCGGAGGAGATCGGGCTGCCGGGGCAGCCCGTGAGGCGCAGGAGAGGTGCTGGTCCCTCCTCCCGGCCGTGGAGGCAGCGCCCAGCGGGCACGGCTGCCCAGGAATGAAACCTGAAGCCCTGACATTCTTTATTTTTTTAATGTTAACGATTTTTAGTCCCTTGGCTGTGTTTATGCAGAGCGTGGCCCAGCCGTGCCCTCCTGCTCAGAGCAGTGAGGGGGTCTGGCCCTTCCAGAAGGGTCCCCCTGGCACAGCTGGAGCAGATGTTTGGGGGCACCCCACACCCTGCTCACACAGAGGGACCTCGGCCTGTGCCTGGCACAGCCTGGCACAGCCTGACTGAGCAGCCTCGAGGGGCTGCTGCTGCCAAAACACCAACCCCTCCTCACCCCTGGGCTCTCGGAGCTCGTCCCTGTGCCCGTGGGAAATGGGGACAGCCCTCGGGGTTGTCACCTCAGCCTGAATCCATTCATTAAAGGAATGTGGTTTGCTTTATGTGAGAGGAAGATGCTCCAGAACCAGCCCACGTGTGGCTGCTGCAGCCATGGGGCAGATGTGCCCTCACCCCACAACCTGGACTGCGTGTGGTGCTGCACCAGCTTCATTCCCCTCTTCTGACAATCATGATCTTGGAAGAGATCGTCCAAAAAATCCTCCTTTGCCTTAAAACCACCATGGGCACTGCACAGACTGGAGCCCAAGGCCTTTGTTTCTACAGGAATCTTCATCCCAAATGTGCCAAACCAGCAGACAAACCAAAAAAAAGGCTGAGGAGGGCAGGGGCTGTGCTGGGGTCCCTGTGGCCACCCCTGTGGCCATCCCTGTGACCTCCTGGCTGTGTCTCTCTCACAGTGCTGATGTTTGTGAGCACTGGGCTTGATTTGTCTGCAGCAGAGGAGGAGCAGCCCCTGCTTTAACAAAGCAATACTGCCAGCTTGGGCAGGAGCAGAGCAGTTGGCTTTTTAAAAAAGATTCCGGTATCAGATAGATGTGTTGGATTTTTATCCTTTAGAGAGACAGAGAGATATTTTTAATGTCCTCCTCACCTCTCCCCCATGGCTGTCCCATGGGATGGAGGGAGGGCTGTGGGGTCCAGTCCATCAGCAGAGCCTGTCCTGTCCTACCTGTGCTCGTGGGACCTCAGCTCATCCAGAGCAGTGTCCCTGTCCTTCTGGGAGAGGGGCTGCCAGGTGCCCCCACCCCTGGCAGCTGTTCTCCAGCAGCTGGAGAACCTCCTGTCCTGCCTTAGCTTTGTCCTTGAAGGATCCCTTCAAATATTTCCCTTTCTTAGTGCCTATGGAGCCCTCCAAGGGGCTGCCAAGAGCTGTGCCAGGGCTGAGGAGGGTTATGCCTGTGGGAGCACCCACAGGATCTGGCCCTGGCTCCTCTCTGCCCCCTCTCTGTCCCCTCTCCTCCTCTCCTGGCTTCTTGCAGAGAATTGAATGTGGAGCCTTTAAAAGTATTTTTGTTGCAGAGTATATTTTGCATTCGCTGTAATAGAGATTATAACAACTCTGTGCACCTTCTGATTTCTGAGTTCAGGTTGCTGCTTGTAAGCACCTCTCGTTATACCCAAGTTGTAATTAATATGTCTGATGTACAATTAAAAAGTGGGGTTTTTTTCAAGGTCACTGTTTCTTTGTGGTGTGAGGATTTTTGGGTTGGGATGCCCAGTGCCCAGCACGGGGCAGCTGGTGCTGCTGGGTTGTGTTGTGTGCCAGGTGAGGTGTGCAAGCCCAGGACAGCCCTTTCCTCTGCCCAGCTGTGACCACGACACCTGCCCAGCTAAGAAACTCCTGTTTATTCCCCTCCCAGTCACAAAAATAACCCAAAGATGTTCCCTGAGTTATGTCCCAGACACCATTAACACGAGGATCCTTTCACAAAGTTCAGCTTGGCCCAGGCAGAAAGCACAGCTCAGGTTGGGGTACGCAGTGCCAGGGCAGTGCCATGCTCCTGCTGGCACCTGGGCTCCCTGCATGGCCCTGGCTGTGCCCAGCTCATCCCAGCTCTCAGTGCCAGGGAGAGCTAAATCCTGCTGGGCTTTGCTGGGCTTTGCTGGGCTTTTTTTGGGCTTTGCTGGGTTTTTGGGGCTTTGCTGGGTTTTGCTAGGGGTTTTTTTGGGCTTTTCTGGGTTTTGCTGGGCTTTTTTGGGCTTTGCTGGGATTTGCTGGGGTTTATTGGGCTTTGCTGGGCTTTGCTGGGTTTTGCTGGGCTTTGCTGGGGTTTATTGGGCTTTGCTGGGCTTTGCTGGGCTTTGCTGGGCTTTGCTGGGTTTTTTTGGGCTTTGCTGGGCTTTGCTGGGGTTTTTTTGGACTTTGCTGGGTTTTTGGGGCTTTGCTGGGTTTTGCTAGGGTTTTTTTGGGCTTTGCTGGGTTTTGCTGGGCTTTGCTGGGCTTTGCTGGGCTTTGCTGGGCTTTGCTGGGTTTTTTGGGCTTTGCTGAGTTTTGCTGGTCTTTGCTGGGGTTTTTTGGGCTTTGCTGGGCTTTGCTGGGGTTTTTTTGGACTTTGCTGGGTTTTTGGGGCTTTGCTGGGTTTTGCTAGGGTTTTTTTGGGCTTTGCTGGGCTTTGCTGGGGTTTTTTGGGCTTTGCTGGGTTTTTTGGGCTTTGCTGGGTTTTGCTGGGTTTTGCTGGGGTTTTTCGGGCTTTGCTGGGTTTTTTGGGCTTCGCTGCTTCCCCGGGCTCCGCAGGGCTGAGCCGCCCGGGGAGGCGGTGCCCGGGCGCACCCTGCGGTCCCGGCCGGGGCAGGATGCTGGCAGCGCCTGGGGCCAGGCAGGGCTCCGCAGAGCTGTGGGGACACCCGGCACCGCAGGGGCTGCCCGGCCACGGCTCCCGGCTGGAATTCGCTGCTGACAGCCCGAGGCACCCCGAGCATCCTGACAGGGACATCTCCGGGTATTCCTGCACAGCTTTCGGTGCTGGCAGCCCCTCCCCAGCTCCCCAGAAATGAGCAGCGCCTTGCGCCCGTCAGTCCCGCGGGACGCTCTCCTCGATCCATCTGAGGTAGGCAGGGTTTCCTCGCTCAATGGGCAGGCTGATGACCTCGGGGATTTCAAAGGGATGGATGGATCTGAAGTGGAAACAGGCGCGGAGCGGCAGCGTCAGCCCAGCCCCGCAGGAAGCCCTCCCGCACTTCAAAGCAGCCGCGGCTCCTTTCTGCCACCTGGGAATTCGGCTTTGAGTTTGGGGTTTGCCGCACACTGCCGGGGGCCTGGCCCCAAGCTGAGAGCGCTCCCCCCTCGGGAGCTGCAGGAAATCCTGTCAGGGATAACCTGTGAGGAGGAGAATCCCTCAAACGCAGCTCGGAGGGCTGGCTGAAGCCCAGCAGCTGATATTTCTGCCAGCTTTTCCTTTTTGCTGATGCCATCTCTGGGTTTTTCTGGCTTGGAAGATACAGCAGGAGCACTTAACCTCCCCATGGCTGGGATGGGGCTCAAGGAACCCCAAAGCTGGAGCAGGAGGTGACAGCCTACCTTGGGTGGGACACCCAGTGCTCCTGTGGAGCCAGAGCCTCACCTGACGTAGTTGGACAATTCCCCTATTTTGGACGTCCTTGTTTTCACCAGCTGTGGAGAGTAAAAAACCAGAACAAACCCCAGGGGAGATGTGAAGGGATGGAGGGATCCTGATCCAGTTCCACTGCCCGCCCAGCACGGCCAGGGGTGTGACAGGAGCTCCTCCAGGGCTCCTCCCCGGGGATGATCCCAAACCCAGCAGGTCGGTGCCACCTTCCCCAAACCTCCCTGCAGCTCCTTTCAGCCAGGGCCGTTTGCAACAGGGATTCTTGTGATGTATGAATGATCACTTACCAGCAGTATTTCAGTGGATTCTTCCAGTTCCCCTTTCCAGAAATACCTGGATTTAAAAGAAAAGCAGCATCAACAAACCCAGCTCTGCTGCAGCCATACCAACCCTCCAGGTTACTTTCCCTGCTTGGTGCTTTTTGCAAGTGGCCATTTCTTTCCAAAGTGCCTCGAGGAGCATTGCTGGCCCCAAAACTGCCGAGCACATGAGTGAGCACCCCAGCTTTATGGAGAGGAGCCTCCTCCAGAGAATTTGCCCCGGGGGACTGGCAGGGCAGATTTGCTGGGCTGGGGTGGTGGTGGCTCTGAGCAGTGCCTGGGGGACACTGCCTGCAGGGACCTTGGCTGGGAGGCTGAGCTTTCTTCCTCTCTCTCCCTGCAGGAGAGGAGCTGCACTTCTCATGAGTCAGATGTGACCTTTCAAAACATTTCCGCTGCCAGGAGCTGTCCTGATCTCATCTGCCTGCAGGGCTCCTGCGGGGAGGGCTCAGAGGCGTCGCCGTGTCTCGGAGCAGGGCACGAGCAGGATCCAGCTGGAGCTGAGCAGGAGAGCTCTGCTCTGTCTCTTTGGCTTTGTAGGACATGGTGGACAAGGAGCTCTGCTCTGCCTCTTTGGCTTTGTAGGACATCATGGAAAAGGAGCTCTGCTCTGCCTCTTTGGGTTTGTAGGACATGGGGGACAAGGAGCTCTGCTCTGTCTCTTTGGCTTTGTAGGACATGGGGGACAAGGAGCTCTGCTCTGCCTCTTTGCCTTTGTAGGACATCATGGAAAAGGAGCTCTGCTCTGCCTCTTTGGCTTTGTAGGACATGGGGGACAAGGAGCTCTGCTCTGGCTCTTTGGCTTTGTAGGACATCATGGAAAAGGAGCTCTGCTCTGGCTCTTTGGCTTTGTAGGACATGGGGGACAAGGAGCTCTGCTCTGCCTCTTTGGGTTTGTAGGACATCATGGAAAAGGAGCTCTGCTCTGCCTCTTTGCATTTGTAGGACATGATCAATAAGGAGCTCTGCTCTGGCTCTTTGGCTTTGTAGGACATGGTGGACAAGGAGCTGTGCTCTGGCTCTTTGCGTTTGTAGGACATGGGGGACAAGGAGCTCTGCTCTGGCTCTTTGCGTTTGTAGGAACTCACAAGGGGGAAAAGGGCATTACTGGGTTTGCCCTCAGGTGGGATATGGGGGTGCACTGTGGGATGCCCTCCTGAGGGAAGCTGGGGTGGGATGTGCTCCTCACTTCTGTCAGGGTGTTTCTGTGGAAAAGCTGTTTTGGGGCTTTGCTCTTGAACCCCTCCAACAAGTGCAGTTCCTTTGCGTGGACGGCTGAGGACACCTGCAGAGCAGGGCTGGGCCTGTTCCAAGGTCAAACCTGCTGTTCTTCCTGCCTGAAAAAGCTGCTTCATGTTGCAAAGGCCTTTTCTGCTCCCTATTTGGCTGCTTTTTACAGTCTCTAATAACAGGCACCACATCCTCAGGACCATAAACCCTAAATTGCTGGATGTCTGTGTCACCAAGGAACCAATAAATGAACGAGCCCCACGGGCAGTCGGAGCACAGTGAGACTCATCCCCACCATCTGCAACAACAAACACACCCAGCAGCCTTCTGGAACCACGGCCTGTGTCCATGGCCTCCCTCCCTCCCTCCTGCAGAGCCCAGGTTTGCTCCTCCCCTGGGGGACATCCAGCACTACTCACAAGGCTGAGCTCTTGGGCAGGATGTTCACGTAGGCAGCCAGTCTCTTGTCCATGATGGCCCTGGGGGAGAGAGGAGGGCACTCAGTGCCAGCCCAGCTCAGTGCCAGCCCAGCTCAGTGCCCACCCCAGCCCTGGGGACATCCTCAGGACGGGCAGCAGCTGCTTTGACATTGGAGACACTGAATTTTGAGTTATTTATTACCCCGAGAAAACAGAAGCAAAGGTGAACTTCGGCTGGAGATACTTCAGATCAGGCAGTCCTGGCAGGGATCTGGGACCCTCCTGTGCTGAGGAGGGAGTTTGGGGGTTGCTCCTGCCCCTCTGGCTGTGGGGTCACCAGGGCAGGGACTGAAATGTGGGACCACAAAAACCCAGCCTGGGATGGACAGGAGGGGGTTTATCTGCCACTGTCCAACTGTGTCCTTTCCTCCCATAGCAGCCTAAAAGTGCATCTTGTTAAATGAAAAACATCAAGATTTTTCGACCCAAAATATCCCAGAAATCTGAAGCCCAGATAGATTCCTTCCCTCGGGCTGCCTCCGTGAGTTGTGGGGTGGTTTGTTACTGCAGAGCTGCTCAGGAAGAAGTGAGCTTCAGAGATTCCAGAGCACCGAACCAATCTCAGGGAGGATTTTTAGAAGAAAAGGGGGCAAATGTTGTGTTTGGTGACCAGAGCAGTGTCTGGCCCTTCTCACAGAGGTGGCAGCTGTCCCTCCAGGCCGGGCACCAGTGACCCCACCTTTGGTTTGCTCCAGCACTTGGGGGGACCGTGGCTGGAGAGGAAGAGCACCCCAGGAGGCTCAGGCTTGTTTGCTCTCACCATGTGCAGGCAGTTCCAGGCATTTAATGCTCCTGGAGCATCTTGAGTTAATCTTTAGAGCAACAAAGTGCAGCAGCACGAGCAGAGCCACCCCTGCTGTGCCTGTCGTGTCACACATGGCACAAATCAGTCTGGATTTGCTGCCTGCAACTTGCAAGTTCCTTCAGCACAGGAACTTTTTGATTTCAGTGCTCTGTCCCAATAAACTGAGATCCTGAGATCCTGAACTTTGTCCCAGCAAGATGAGCAGCAACAAGAGGTCACCAGGGGAGCAGAGAACACTGTAAGAAGCTGAATGTGAGCTGTGGAAAATGTCTGCATAATACATGATAGCTTTGGGTCGGGTACTTAATTGTGTGTTTCTTTGCCCTGATGTGAGACAGATGAAATATTAATAACCAGAAAAGCAAAGAAAATGATAAACACAAATCTAAAACATCAGTGGGGGCTGGTGGAGTGCTGGGCAAGTTGGGTGAGGTGCAGTGGCCACAGCACTCAGCCAAGGGGGTCAGCTCCTCCCAGGACAGGCAGGAAGGTCTTGAGATGCTGAATTCTTCTGCTTTCCCAAAGCTTGAACCCCTTTTCCTCAAACCAGTGGAAAATTTCCTTGCAGACTGATTCATCTGAGTGAGGGCTCCACTGAGCAGTGCAAAGGAAGAATAAACACAGGAAAAGGAGTGGGGGAAAATGAGTGTAGAAGCCCTGTGTCATCCCCTGCAACCAGAGCTCACTGCTCCCAGTTCCAGAACAAAGGAATAATTACTGCACCAGTAAAACCACAACCAGAGTACACATATCTCTGCAAGGGGGAGCGATTTATCTCCTCTCCCTTCCCTGCAAGATGAGAGACAAAGTGGAAAGCATTTGCAGAGCTGTTAAGATGAGGCATTTTCAGGAACTGAGGCTCTTTTCACCAGGTACAGTTGCTCCTTTTTTTTTTTTTAGGAGACATCGGGCAGTGCAGACATAATTCTATTTGAATTTCTTCTTACAGTTGCAGTATTTAAGGTGACACAAACTCCCTTTCAGCAGCCTGTCAGTTCCTGAGCATGGCTGGGAGCCCTTTGCTGGAGATGGAGGGGTTTTGGCAGCAGGAAAACAGCGCAGGAGGTGTTGCAGGAAACTTCACGGTCCATCATAAACACCTCCCCAGTCAACACGGGTTCAGTTCTTTGAACAGACCATCCATTGAGTCAGGGACTGACAGACGTGTGAAAAGAACTCTGCATGCAAAATATCACACAAAGTATCTCATATATTAAAGGAGAAGAAAGAAAAAATCAGGGAAAAGCCCTCACTCCCTGAAGTTTGCCTGGTGAGCAGAGTGGTACCTCAGAAGTGTTTGTTGTGGACCCTTTTTCCTTTATTTTCATGTCAAAGCACTGTGCTTTGTCTCTCTCTATAAATATCCCTCCTGGCATTCTGTTGTCTGTGCTGTTCTAGAGAGGAATAAAGACTGTGGCAGATCAGAGACCACCAGGCTGGAGCTTAACCCACCTGAGAACCCAGAAATTCAGGGTCATGAAAGTGGGTCTTGAAAATGCAAGGCAGTGAAATACATTGAGAATTTCTTGCTGTTACCATGCCCTTGACTTCAGAGGCAAATGTCAGCTTTCCTTGGGACAGAGCAGCTCTTGGCAAGGGCTTGTGATACAGTCAGTGGAAAGGAGCATTACTGGGGTATCACAGAATGTAGGAGTAATTACTTCTTATTTCTGTGCTACAGCACAAGCTAGAATTGGTTCCAGGTTCAATCAGGTCTCACAATAACACCAGGTTAAATTGTATCACACTGCAGAGGACTTGAAACTGCTCAGAGAAGTCAGCAGAGTATTTTCCCATACTATCAGCACCATCTCTATCTGCATATATAGATTCTTATTGGAAAGTAAAACTACTGAGTGTAAGGGACTTAAACTTCAGAAAGAATTATGCAGTGCTCAGGCAACCCTGCAGATAGGAAAGAAGAGAAAGAAGAGAAAGAAGAGAAAGAAGAGACAGAAGAGAAAGAAGAGACAGAAGAGAAAGAAAAGAAAGAAGAGAAAGAAGAGAAAGAGGAGAAAGAAGAGAGAGAAGAGAAAGAAGAGAAAGAAGAGAAAGAGGAGAAAGAAGAGAGAGAAGAGAAAGAAGAGAAAGAAGAGACAGAAGAGAAAGAAAAGAAAGAAGTGAGAGAAGAGAAAGAAGAGAAAGAAGAGAAAGAGGAGAAAGAAGAGAGAGAAGAGAAAGAAAAGAAAGAAGAGAAAGAAGAGAAATAAGAGAAGGAAAAGAGAGAAGAGAAAGAAGAAAGAAGAGAAATAATAGAAAGAAGAGAAATAATAGAAGGAAGAGAGAGAAGAGAAAGAAGAGAAGGAAGAGAAACCCAGAATGGTTTGGGTTGGGAGGCACTTTAAATCTCATGCCACTGCACCCTGCCCTGGCAGGGACACCTTCCCTTAAGAATGGTTTGGGTTGGGAGGCACTTTAAATCTCATGTCACTGCACCCTGCCATGGCAGGGACACCTTCCCTTATCCCAGGTTGCTCCAAGCCCCAGTGTCCAACCTGTCCTCAAACACTTCCAGGGATGGAGCAGCCACAGCTTCCCTGGGCTGCTGAGCCAGCACTGCAAAGGCAGAGGGACAAGGAGACGCTCAGCTCTGCTCCAGCCTCCCCAGGCAGGCAGGCACGGGTGATGTGGCTGTACCTGGCGATGTCCCTGGCGACGTGCTCGTTGGGACAGCTGATGAAGGCCATGGAGTGTGTCCCTGGCACGTAGGAGCCGCTGAGAGCCCCGTGCAGCTGCAGAGCCAGGCCCCGGAGCAGCGGGTACAGGAGCACCAGCAGCGTCAGCACCTCGGAGAGAACACCGGGGGTGGTGGAGGTGAAGCAGCGTTTGCATTGTCTGTGCTTGAGGGGCACTTCCAGCCTTCTCTCAGCATTGCAGAACCAGTTAAATTAAATTAGGGTGAGAACCTGCTCCTAGGGGCATTCATTGCCCTCCAAAAGGGCCAATTCGTGCTCAGGGCAGGAGAGGGGCATTTTGAGGCTGTATCAGCCCAGGCCTCCACCGTGGGAGGTCACCCCCAGATTAATGAGGGTTCCAGACCCCACCACCCAGCCACAGCAGCCAGGACTGGCTTTCTGCAGGAGAATAAGGAGGTGAGACATGGAACGTCTTGGTTTCTAGTGCAAAAAAAGAGCAAGAAGGGAATGGTTCCCACACCAGCAGGTCTCTCACTCAGGGCACATCTGCAGCCATCCTTCAGCTGTGTGCCAGGGGGGAGCTGTGTCCATGGGTCCATCCCTCTGGAAATGGGGCACAGCACCCTCTGCTCCCTGGGGATGTGGGCAGGGGAGGAGCAGGATGTCAGGGATTTGTCCATGGCAAACAGATTTGGTGCCAGGAGCTGGGGAATCCCCATCCTGCCCTGTCAGGTTCCTCTCCTCTGCCACAGCCCTCTGCAGCCCCCTCAGCCACGCTCCAGCCTCACAGCCTGACCTCAGGCAGGTTTAAATTCATCTGTCTGAACTATCTGCTGCTGGAAACAGTGCATCAGGATCCTGTGGGGCACAGGGATCTCAGTGTGCACAGCCCCGGCTCTGCAGAGCAGCACCAACAAGTGGGGTTTGCTGAGCAGGAGCTGCTGCTCCTGGCAGCCCCTGCACTGATCTCCGTGCTCTCGTGCCACCAACAGCCTCCCAAAAATTCATCCTCACCCCAGCAGGGATGCTGTGGGAGTGGGGAGGTTAATTTGGGGTGCTGAGGAGCAGCTGAAGGACGGTGCCACCCTGGACTGCGGCGCCTTCCCTTTGTCTTTTGTTTTGGTTTTGACATAAACAGCATCTGGCCCTGATTCAGCTGCAGTGATTTTAAAAAATGCTAAGAATATATTCCTTTTCCCCCTTATTTCCACCCTCCTTTGTCCTCTGAAAAACCTGCCACAACAGCACTAATGTAGAAATCTCTCCTCTTTTTTTCCCTTTCTTTCTTTCTTTTTTTTTTTTTTAATTGAATTAAAAATCTCTCTTGTCACCACAAATCCAGGAGCTCCTTCCCATTTGGAAGATGACTGATGTGCTGTATTGCTTGTCTCCTCTTTCCCAGTCCATTTGAGGAAATATTCTTTGTTACCACCAGACTTCTCATCATCATTTTTAGAGCTCCTTCTGTGCTCCTTTTTTCCCACTAAGCCATTTAGCAAACATAACACAACAAATCCCAGAAGCTACTCAGAGAGTTACAAGCCAAACAGAGATGTGCTGGTGTACCTATTTTTCCAGATTAAAACGTAATCATGCTCCTTGCTCAGGGAGAAAAACAAACATCCAACCTGTTCAGCCTGCTGATCATTAATCTTCTTGGAAGATGTACGTGCATGTGATGAGGAAATCCCCAGGATCATTTGTGATTGAATATTAGTACAAACATGAACACTACCTTGTTTTTTTCTGGTGTTTTCCCCCACTTTTTTTATGAAAAGAAAGATTCCCCCCCATTTTTTTTCTAGAATAATTGTATTTGCCAAGGAACGGTGCAAAAGAAGAGTGTAACATCAGGATTCCTGCCCGATAAACCAATTAAACTCATGATTGCCAAAATACTGAAATTAACAAAACTGCAAACACCCCTGTGAGGATTTAAGAACTCCACTGAAAAGCACCGAGCAGCAAAATGCCAGTTTAGTGCAGAGAGACTCAGATTCCTGCAACACCTCTGGTGGCTTTGGTGAACTAAAAACACCTTTAGGTTTAGAATCACCATGCCAGGACTTTTTGCCTAGTTTTGATGAGATTCTGTTAAAAAACCCCAACCGAACAACACCACCTGAGCACAACTTGTGGCGATGCTGAGTGTAAAAAAAACCTTGAAAATTTGTTTCTCTGCCAGCAGATGCAGGGATGGTGTGGGGATGTGCACGATGGGGGTGGGGAGAGGTTGGCTACCAGAGGTACACACAGGTATTGCCATGGTTGCTTGGCGTGGCTTGGTGTCTGTTGTGCTCCCCGGGGAGTGTCCCACGTCCTGCCTCCCCATCCCATCCCTGTGTCCATCCCATCCCTGTGTCCATCCCATCCCTGTGTCCATCCCATCCCTGTGTCCATCCCATCCCTGTGTCCATCCCTGTGTCCATCCATCCCTGTGTCCAGCCAGCCCGTATCCATCCCATCCCCGTGTCCATTCCTGTGTTCATCCCAACCCTGTGTCCATTCCTGTGTCCATCCCATCCTTGTGTCCATCCCATCCCTGTGTCCATCCCATCCCTGTGTCCGTCCATCCCATGTCCATCCCATCCCTGTGTGACCTTGAGAATTTGTTTCTCTGCCAGCAGATGCAGGGAGTGCACCCCCCCTGCACGATGGGGGTGGGGAGAGGTTGGCTACCAGAGGTACACACAGGTATTGCCATGGTTGCTTGGCGTGGCTTGGTGTCTGTTGTGCTCCCCGGGGAGTGTCCCACGTCCTGCCTCCCCATCCCATCCCTGTGTCCATCCCATCCCTGTGTCCATCCCATCCCTGTGTCCGTCCATCCCATGTCCATCCCATCCCTGTGTGCATTCCTGTGTCCATCCCAACCCTGTGTCCATCCCATCCTGGTGTCCATCCCAACCCTGTGTCCATTCCTGTGTCCATCCCATCCCTGTGTCCATCTCATCCCTGTGTCCATCCATCCCTGTGTCCAGCCAGCCCGTATCCATCCCATCCCCGTGTCCATTCCTGTGTTCATCCCAACCCTGTGTCCATTCCTGTGTCCATCCCAGCTGCGTGCCCATCCATCCCTCTGTCCATCCCCGTCTCCATCCCTGTGTCCATCCATCCCTGTGTCCATCCCCGTGTCCATCCCACTGTGTCCATCCCAACCCTGTGTCCATTCCTGTGTCCATCCCAGCTGCGTGCCCATCCATCCCTCTGTCCATCCCCATGTCCATCCCCATGTCCATCCCCATGTCCATCCCCATGTCCATCCCCATGTCTGTCCATCCCTCTGTCCATCCCCGTGTCCATCCCGTCTCCATCCCCGTGTCCATCCATCCCTGTGTCCATCCATCCCTCTGTCCATCCCCATGTCCAGTCCTGTGTCCAGCCAGCCCCATGCCCATCTCCGTGCCCATCCCGTTCCCATCCCATGTCAATCCCCGTCTCCATCCCTGTGTCCATCCCTGTGTCCATCCCAGCTGTGTGTCCATCCATCCCTCTGTCCATCCCCATGTCCATCCCTGTGTCCATCCCATGTCAATCCCCGTGTCCATCCCGTCTCCATCCCCATGCCCATCCCGTGTCCATCCCATGTCAATCCCCGTGCCCATCCCCGTGTCCATCCCAGCCGCACTCACCAGCAGCGCGGTGCCGCGGCCGGGCCGGGGGCAGCCCTGGGCAGCGGGGGGCAGCGGGCAGCGCTGGCTCAGCCCCTCCATGGCCCCTGCACCTGCTGTGCCCGAGCGGGCAGCGCTGCCCGGACAGCTCCAGCTCCAGCTCCTCCTCCTCCTCCTCCCCGCCCCGGGACGTGCTGACCCCATTTGTCGCCTTTCCTTCCATTTCCCTGTCTATAAAAACGTGATTTCCTCCCATTTCTTCTGGGGCAGAAACCGCCGGGCAGGGGCTGAGTGTTGTGGTGTTTGTACCCAAAACCTCCTGCGAGGGACGCGGGGCAGAACACTGTTTGTGTCACTTTGCTGTCGCCCTGTCTGTCCCCGTGGTGTGCCAGGGGAATTCACTCCCTGCCAGCTCTCACTCATTTATTTGGGGATGCAATCCTTGCCGAGCTGCAGGCACAGAGTTAGAGGAGTTGTCTGACAGCACCGGTTTGTTTGTAAAAGGTGACAAAATTCAGCCTGAAGAGGTGAGGGGGCGGCACAGGAGCTGCTCCGGGCGGACACCGGGACGGGAGCGGCTGCTCCTGCCCGGGATCAGCGCCTGCCCTGCCCGGGATCAGCGCCTGCCCTGCCCGGGATCAGCGCCTGCCCCTCCCCGCGAGCAGCGGCTGCTCCTGCCCGGGATCAGCGCCTGCCCTGCCCGGGATCAGCGCCTGCCCTGCCCGGGATCAGCGCCTGCCCGTCCCGTCCCGAGCCAGACGAACGCCGTTCATCGCGGTTTGGCCAAAAACCGGCACCGAACGGTCGGGCACCGACCGCTGCCCGCACCCGGGGCACGGAGACCGCCATGGCCATGGGACCAGGGCCCGGACGGGACCCCGCCCCTTAATTAACCGACCACGCCCCCTCATTACTTAATTAACCGGACCACGCCCCCTCATTACCGGGGCACGCCTCCTCATTAACCGGACCACGCCCCCTCATTACCGGGGCCACACCCTCTCATTACCGGGGCCACACCCCCTCATTACCCGGACCACGCCCCTAATTACAGGGACCACGCCTCTTTATTACCGAGACCACGCCCATCTATTAAGGGGACCGCGTCCCTCTGTTACCGACGCCACGCCTCCTTATTGCCGGGACCACGCCCCTTAATTAACATGAACACGCCCCTTAATTAGGGGGAGCACGCCTCCTATTAACGAGACCACGCCTCTTTATTAACGGGACCACGCCTCCTCATCACCGAGACCACGCCCCTTAATTATCGGAACCACACCCCTAATGGGACCACGCCCCCTCATTACAGTGACCACACCCCCTCATTACAGTGACCACGCCCCCTCATTAACGGGAACACGCCCCTTAATTACCGGGGTCACGCCCCTTAATTACTGAGGTCACGCCTCCTATTACCGAGACCACGCCCCTCATTACCTAGCGGGAACACGCCCCTTAATTACCGGGGTCACGCCCCTTAATTACTGAGGTCACGCCTCCTATTACCGAGACCACGCCTCTTTATTACCGGGACCACGCCCCTCATTACCGAGCCACGCCCCTCATTACCGGTACCACGCCCCCTCATTACCGATACCGCACCCCCTCATTACCATGACCACGCCCCCTCGGCTCCCTGAGGGGCGGAGCCAGGGGCGCGGCGCGCGCACACTTTGTTTACATTTTGCCGGACGCAAAGGGCGCCCTTAGCAACGGCGCGGCGGTTGCTACGGGCGCCCCGCGCTCTCGCGATACTCCCTCCCGGGGGTTGCTACGGGCGACGCGAGTTCTCGCGAGGCCGCCGGGAGCCGGCGGAGGCGGCAAGATGGCGGAGGCGGCGGCGGCGCTGCTGGAGCGGGCGGCGCGGCCGGGCGCGACGCTGGAGGAGCTGCGGGCCCTGCGGCTCGCCGTGCAGGCCGTGCCGCTCGCCGCCCTGCGCCCCCGTCTCGCCGAGCACCACCTGAGGGCGCTCTTCGGCCTCCTCGGCAGCAGTGACCGGTGAGCTCCGGCGCGGTGCGGCGGGCCTGCGCGGCCCCGCTGCTGTTCCCTCCTGCCGCTTCCCCGCCTCATTCCCTCATTCCCTGCGCTCCTTCGGGGCGGGAGGTGGCACGGCGGTGTCTCTCTGCTCACGGGCTCGGTTTTCTCTCCGTCCCGCCCAGGGAGCAGGTGTCCGCGTGTGTTTCCATCCTGGAGCGGCTCCTGCCGGCCCTGGAGCCGCTGGACGTGATCCAGAACCTCCGGGAGGAGCTGCGGAAGGGCCTTTTCCACCCCGAGGACTCGGTGAAGATCCTCACCATGGCCCAGGTAGCGCGTTTCCTCCAGGAGGAGGGGACAGAGCTCTGGGCTTGTCCCCATCTGCTCTTTCCTGCCTCGGTTTGTGGTGGAAGCAGGAATTGTGTCCTGCACTGGTTCCGTGTCGGATAATCACCCTGCAGTGTGTGTACAATGTGATATGTCAGTGATAATGCCCAAAGCTATGGCCTGACAAAAGCAGGTTGTGAATAAAACCTGTGCCACGTCTCCTGGCTAAAGCTCTCCAGGCCAGCAGGTGATGGGAGAATTAAAAGCAGCAACATTTTGATATTCAGGACGCTTTAAACTCCAGTGGAAACACCAAGCAGGCTGTGGGAGATCGACACTGCTGCATTAATTTCAAAGGAGAGGATTGTGGGGTGTTGTGGTTTGGGGTGGATTTCTAAAAGTTCAGCTGAGAGCAGCTGCTCAGGTGTTGTCCAGTTGGGTTTTGATCCAAAACCCTCAAAATATTAAAAATATTAAAAATATTAAAATATAAAAATAAATATAAAAATATAAAAATATTAATATATTAAAATATTAAAATTACTCTGGCTTCCTGCTCATCTGTTCCAGTGCTTGAGTACCCTTACAGTGGGAAAGAATTTGTTCTTACGTTATTTCCTGTGGCCCTTTGACCAGGTTGGGAGGATTGTTGAAGACCCAGCTGCTGTCCCAGAGATCCTGCACAGCCCCGAGCTGTTACAGCAGATCATAAACTGCATTGGTGGGGAGAAAATAGCAGTGGCCAAAGAGGTAAAGGTGCCTTTACTGTCCCATTCCTCTGCCAGCTGGGGTGGTTGGGTGACAAAAACAATGAGCTCTCATCGGTGACAAGTGAATTACAGGGACTAAAACCTGACAGCCTCGGATTTTATCCTCTTTTTAACAACAAGCTGCTGTTTTTGCTTGCAGGCCATCAGATCTCTGTCAAGGCTTGCCCAGAGCCAGCAGGGCCTGGAGGCTCTGTTGGGGAGCAGCTTGCTGGGTGACCTCAGGAGGGTCATGGCCACCAGCGACGTCGTTCGCTACAGGGTCTACGAGGTGGGCAGCTCCCCGGGGCTCTGCCCCTCTGCCTGGCTTTTGTGGCTGCTAAATTATTGCTTCTCACTGCTTTACCTGCTTTTCTGCATGTCTGTGTTGTGTCAGAACTGGAAAGGAGTGGGGAGATGGCAGCACTGGGGGCTCTCCTGGTGTCATTGCTTCTCTTTCTCGTTTTTTGGTGTGAAAGTGTGAATTGCTGTTCATTTTCTAACTTGTGGTGCCTGAGGCATTGGAAGGGCTGCACAGAATCACTAAAGGCACCAGAAAGAGTTTGTTTCTGTGAAAATAAAAGGAAAATAGTTAACTGTAACCCCTTGACTTTTGGATGTGAAGTGCTGCTAAGAGTTTTGGAGAGATGCCAGCTGTCAGTCTAGAGATGTTAAGGAGAAATAACACAATTTAAACCTTCTAGAGCTTAGTGGGCATAGCACAGGAAGAGCTGATTGTGAGTAGAGATCAAATGCTTGTGCTGTAAACTTGGAACTCCTTGTGAACTTGCTTCATTTGGGTTAATGATAAAAATATGATTAATTCCATATTTAATATATGTAAGGTTAATTAGCACAGGAGATGTATTTGGCTGTTGCTGTGAATTATTATAATGTTTTATAAATTGTATTTTTTGCTTTTATTTAGTTAATTGTGGAGATTTCATCAGTGTCAGCAGAGTCTCTGAATTACTGTGCAAGCAGTGGGTTGATCCCTGAGTTAATTGGGGAGCTGACTGGAGAGGATGTGCTGGTCAGGTATGTTGGTGAGTTTGCCAAAGACATTTCCACCATTGTTAAAACTCTAATAAATGTATTTGTGTGTGTTTCTTGTAAAACCCTGCTCAGAAAAACTTCTTAAACTGTTCTGGGTGTGAAATACTTCATACCTTAATCTGAGGACTGAGCTGGAGTGATAATTGTTTGGCTGCAGCAGAAACACTACACATCAAATTCTTTCCCAAATCCAAAGAGCTGAATGAGCTCAGAGAAGCTTGAACACTTGGAATCATTTGTGTTTCTTTGCTGGGATTTTGTTTTATGGCTGTGGCTTCTTTTTCTCAATCCCTGAGTGCTTCAGGCCCCTCCTGTGCCAAACTGAGCTCCGTGTGTGTTGCAGAGCCACGTGCATCGAGATGCTGACCTCGCTGGCACACAGCCCCCAGGGCAGGCAGCACCTGGCCCAGCAGGGAGTCATCGACAGGATCTCCAACATCATCCTGGGGGCAGACTCAGACCCCTTCTCCAGCTTCTACCTGCCAGGTGCCACCATGCATTCCTTCTTTCCAGGCCTTGCTGCTTGCTTTGGCAGTGGGTTAAATGGACAGCGCTGCCAAACCTCTCTGTTGAGAGCTTAGAAGAAATTTTGAATATTAGTCTGGTGTGTAAAATATTTAAAAATGCTGAGTGACAGCTTGACACATGAAGGATGTCCCTCGGTAAGATCTGGGCAGGCTGTGCTGTAGCTTTAAAGTTTGTGTTATTGTAGCCTTTTTTAGGAGCACAAACATCATGAATTAAGCAACAGTCAAAATATTTGGCTTGTTGCTTAGTTCTGGCTTTATTTTGAGCTTTTTACCAACATTATTCAGCCTTAATAACACATGTTTAGGAACAAATCAATCTCACATTAATGTCCATTTAATCTTGCCATTGCTGTTCTTCCACTCAATGCTTTTTTTGGTCTTGTTTTCTCAGGATTTGTTAAATTTTTTGGCAATCTGGCTGTTGTGGACAGTCCCCAGCAGATCTGTGAGCGCTACCCTGTCTTTATGGAAAAAGTCTTTGAAATGGCAGAAAGTCAGGATCCAACCATGATTGGAGTGGCTGTGGACACACTGGGAATCCTGGGATCAAATGTGGAAGGCAAACAGGTTTTACAGAAAACTAGTTAGTATCTTTTTTTAAAATAATACTTTATCATATAAGAGTGAATTGGTTTGGGGTAATACAGAAAGGAATTGAAAAATATATTCACTTATCTAATGAATAAATTTGTAATGTAACTGATGGGTGACTGTATTCCTGTAGAGATCTGGCTGAATTAATTAAAAGCACTTTGTTTTTGTTTTGAAAGGAAGTAGATTTCAAAATATCTTAAGCAAAATAGGGCACCAGGCCAAGAATGCCCCCACTGAGTTACGGCTTCGGTGCCTGGATGCGATTTCATCCCTGCTTTACTTGCCTGTAAGTTGAGCTTTTTGTCTTTGTTCTTTTCTTCAAATCTCCAAGAATGAAATCATCACACACCTGAGTGACTGAGGAGACATTTTGTAGCCTCTAGGTTGGGTGGCAGTGGGGTTTTCAGTGTTCTGAGTCATGGATTTACTGGTTTGAAATTCCCCGATAGGTTTGGGTTTGTTTGTAAGGTGCCACGTGTTCTGAAATGTTAATAAAAGATGAAGTCAAGGCTTCATTGATGAGGGAATGAGAGGAAGCAGGTTCATACCCTCGTGCTCAGAGGGATAGGGGCAAACTGCTGCAGTCCCTGTGGTCTTTGTGTCCAGGGATCTGAGTTAACAGTGTAGCTCTGAAGGGGTGATTAAACCATTTGAACACATCCCAAAAACCTGAAAGCTTTTCATAATCCTAACCAAACTCTCATTTTTGTGATTTATGCAGCCAGAGCAGCAGACAGAAGACCTCTTAAGAATGACTGAATCCTGGTTCACATCCTTGTCCAGCCAGCCCCTGGAGCTGTTCAGGAGCATCAGCACTCAGCCCTTCCCTGATCTCCACTGTGGGGCTTTACGGGTGTTTACTGTGAGTGCTTTTGCTTTTAAACATCAGGGAGGGACTTGTCCTGCCATTCAGTCTCAGATTTATTTATTTCTTTGAAGTGAATACCACCAACTTGTAGCTGAAGCCCAGAATTGGTCAGAGAAAGGCCTTTTCCTCAGGCCCCACTTGGCTTCCCCATTTAATTGATGCAGCAGACACATCATGTCTGTAATGCTAATTTTCTGATAAATTGGAGAGGGAGAAAAAAAGGCAAGAGTTTTGCTCTAAGGTGCTGCTTCTCTAGCAGAGGCACTGCTGTGATAATTCCCTCAAAACTTTGAAGATGAGCACTGAACACTACTTGTTCTCCAGTGTTAAACCCTGCTGCTTGATTTGAGTGGTGTTTTTTTCTCTCATTTAATTTTCCCCTGTCCTTGTCCCTGTACCAAAACCCTGCTGTGTAGCTGCTTTTCTGGGGTTTTAAAATGTTTTCTCCCTCTCACATCTTTTGTCTTCCTGTTTTCAGGCCATTGCAAATCAGCCATGGGCCCAGAAGCTGATGCTGAACAGCCCAGGGTTTGTGGAGTACGTTGTGGACAGATCTGTGGAGCCTGACAAAGCTTCCAAGGACGCTAAATACGAACTGGTGAAGGCCCTGGTGAACTCCAAAACCATTGCAGAGATCTTTGGCAATCAGTACTACCTGAGGCTCAGGGCTTACCTCCACGAGGGCCCCTATTATGTTAAGGCAGTTTCCACTACAGCTGTGGAAGGAGCAGAATAATGTCCTTGCTGTCTGGGCTCCCCCTCCTGCAGAACACAGTCCTGGCACAGGTCTTGAGGTACAAGGTGTAAAAACTCCACACTGGAGGTTGTCTCTTTAAAGAAATGTGAAGATATTTTGACTCTATTTGAAAGGAGTCAGGAGAGCAAATTAAAGGTTGTTTGGTATTTCCCCCTAAAATGTCATGGCAGAAGTTCCCTGTGTGCTTCATGAGGCAGGTAACCCAGGTGAGCACTTAGCAGCTGCTGGCTGTGTTTTACTTGGCAGAATTTATCAGTGTTTGTTTAGATTGTTCTTGGGTTTGGAGTTTCTGTTGTGTTTTCTCAGTAGGTTACAGTTCAGTTAAAAAAACCCACCAAAACACCTCAAGGTTTGTAACCTCAGATGCTGCCATAATTTCTATTCTTTTTTAATTCTTTTTTTTACCTGCCAGAGTTGGCACTTGCATGGAACACTCTGTTCTGTCAGAATCCTATTGCTGAATAAGTGACACTGTCCACATGAGGGAGTATGGACTGGATTCTCTTGTTTTCAGCCTGCTGGATGTGAGTCTTGCTGGAATAAATAATCCTAAATATTGTTTACATTTTCTGCTGAGGATTAAAAAAAAAAAAAGTTTTTAGCCCTTTTGAAAACAAATCAGTGCACTCTGTAGGGATCAAACCCCCCTGGGAGCTTTGTGTCCCTGGTTGGCTGTGCTGTGGGGTGGCAGCTCACTTTAGTGGCTGGAGCACTACAAGACTATTTCAGAACCAAATCTTGAATTGTTTACACTATTTTTTAACAGAGATAGAATTTTTAAAATGTTATTTAAAGAAATGTCTTTTAGTTACCTGAGTTAGATTATTAAAAGGGGTAAGAACATAGAGCTGTTGTGTTGAGGGAGTGAATGAAGTGGAAGTATGGAAATGTGGCATCTTAGGAAGTTGGATCTCCTTTTGAAGATGTCAGAATCAGGAGTGGCTGGGCACTCCATGACATGAGATGTGTCTGCCCACAAACAGACCACAGGGTACTTCCTATCAAAGCCTTGTATTCTTTTTATTGAGGGGGACCAGAAGAAACCATGAAATTCTACTTTGGGGCTTCTTTTAGTAATGTGTCAGCCAGGTGTGACTGGGGAGGGCTGGCCCCGTGTCCCTGTGCTGCCAGGGAAGCAGGAGGCTCCTGTCCTGCAGGAACTCTGCCTCTGCCTGTGGCAGGTGGAGCTGCCAAAAACTGCTGCCCAGGAGGGCTCAGAGGGGCTGGGGGAGATCCATTAATGTTTGCTAAGCTGTCTAAATGCAGGTGAGGTGCCTTGTAGCCCAAGATGTCCCTGAGTTGTCATCCTGCATCCCAAAGCTGCTGCTTTTACCCCAGATGTGCCCAGTAAAGATCTGCCAGTGAGAAATGCCCTGCAGTGTCTCGTGACAGGAGCTTCATGGACCCTGCATCCAGCAAACACATTCAAGCACTAAAAAGGAAATAAAAGAATGTAGAAGTCCTTAGCTTGCACTTGCTCTGGGCAGTTCAGCTCTGTTATTTTAGGTGTCTTTGTGTACTGGTGGTTCTGTATGAGCCATATGCTGAAATGTCAGTAAAAGAAATCAATATATAAACCTGTTCTGCAATTCATGAGCCTCTTCCATGTGTGTTTTCAGCTGGTGCTTTTGAAGGCCACTCTGTGTGCTGAGTATTTAGCATCTGCTTTGCATGGTACATTTGCCAAAGACAATATTTTAGAATGTGCAGAGATGCCAAACAAGGGGATTTTTTTTTGTATACACATATGCTTTATTTTGTTGAGCTTTGAGCTCGGTGTTGATTGATTAATTGATCACTTTCCCCTTATTACTCAGATGCAGTTCCCTGCCCATGCTGTACATTGCCATATGGATTACATGCTGCTGCTGTATCTGATAGAAATGACAGTTTTGAAGTGTGTTGTTTTTGTCATCCCCCTTGAAGTAACAGGTGGAGATGATTGAGGAAAAACACGAAATGGAATGCTGGGGAATTGAGGTGACATGCTGAACATTTGGTTTAAAAAACAAAAAATGCCAAACCAAACCTTGTCATTTGATGGATGTTAACAAACAGCGTTACTTGAGGAATTTCCATGATGGAAATTCTCAGTGTCTGTTCCTGCTGGAGCTGCTCTGTTCCTCTGTGAACCAGCCTGCTCACAGCAGCTCCTTTGTGCATGGAGAGCTTCCCCTTTGTGCCAGAATTCTTTGGAAGTAGGTGATGCCTCACTCACATAAAAAAGGAGTTTTGAAGACTTAGAAGTCTGAAAAACCATGGATATAGACAAGTCTGTTGGAATACTCTTTTTTATTTCCATGCATGCACTTGTAGGTACTTAGAGAGGCAGAGGACATCCAGTTCTGCTCTGTCACACTGTAACAGTGACAGTTCATTTGCTGCTGAAGGGAAAAGAGCAAACTTTGGGAGGGCATCCTTTGTACAGAATGTTAACAGGACAACACAGCTGATGAAAGAAAACCCAGCCTCTTCTTGCAGAAGTTAATCATTAATTGACAAAACGAAGGAGCTCATTTTTTATCCTGTCCAAGTGGAACCGTTTGAACTTATCAATGTAGGTCAGAACCTTGCAGGACACCAGGCTGTAGTAGGTTTCCAGCAAGGAACAATCCTCCCCATCGCTCGTTTCCTTCCAGTCTTTAAATAGCTCGTCCTCTCTCATGTGGGAAGAGGTGAAAATGAATTTATAGCAGCATGGGTTGTAGCTGATGTGCTTGTCCCCAGCGAAGCGGGAGCTGTGCCTGGCAGTGATGCCAGCTCTTTTAGCACAGATTCCTACAAAGGCAGCGGGGGGCAGTGCCAGTGGCACCTCCCTGGCAGCCACGTAAACCTTGCGAGCCACGTCCTGGGACATGAGGATGGCACTGCCATGGCAGAAATCAGGGTAGAACTGCTCGGGGTACTGGTGGATGGGCACAAAGCCAGGGCTCTGGGGGTCCCTGTCGGGCACTCCGTGGTGAACCACCCTGCCGAGGTAGATGTCCTCCTGCTGGGGTAAGCTCAGCAGGTACCCAGCCAGGCTGGGAACACCCACAAACACATCCTGGGCTGCGTGAAGGATGTACCTGGCACGGGGACAGAAAGTCACCGTCCACTCCACGCTCATCAGCATCTTCTGTGTCTGCGTCTGGGGGGAATCGATGAAACTGCCTTCAATAATGTCTCGGTGCCTTTGAGCCTCCTCGCTGATCTCCAGCTGGGTGCTTGCTGAAGCTGCCTTTCCTACAGCAAACAGAGTCAGCACGCTGTAACCCCTGGAGCCCGTGGCGTTGCCCCAGGTCTGCCTGATGGCGTTGCGCCTTGTCCTGTTCTCTGGGCTGCTGCAGACAACAATGAGCAGAAAAATCTCTTGGTTGGAGCAAGTCACTGCACTGCTGCTGCTGTGAGAGAGGTTGGCCTTCAGAGGGTCCAGATCCAGCTTCCTGGCCCTGTCCCTGATCTCCAGAGCCTTTGCATCAGTGTAGGAGAGGGGCAGGGACTGCAGGAAGTACTGCTCCAGTAAATCTGCCCCGAAGAGCAGCAGGTGGAACAGCAGGACGTTGAAGAGGATGAAGCACCACTGGTGTGTGCGGAGCCTGCACAGTGTCAGCTGGAACAGGAACGTGGACACTGAATTCTCCTGCCTCTCAACCCAGAAGGCTTTCCCTCATTTCACAATATATCCATGCAAAGCAATCACAACTTCTAGACTGTGGTCTTTGTATTATTAGTGTGAGGATTTTTTCTCCCAGAAACTTAAGAAATCTACTTGAGGCACAGTGAGATCCCAAGCTGAGAAGGATGTTACCGTGTTGAAAGCTTCTCTCTGTGCATCCATGTGTGGAAATACTGAAGAATGATTTGCTCTGAATAATTTTTAACTATTTTTAACCTGTTATTGAAGGCTTGATGTGCCCCTTAATATGTCCTTGAAGGAGAACTTTTGCTGTTTGGCCTGACACTGCCCTATGAAAGCTGTCAGGGTTAGAATCCAGAGGGAAAGGCTGGGTTGGATGGGGCTTGGAGCAACACGGGAAAGTGGAAGGTGTGGAAGGGGATGGAATGAGATGATCTTTAAGGTCCCCTCCACCCCCAATCCTGTGAAAGCTGTAAGAGGCTGCAGCACTTACCTGCATGGTGCTGGGAGCTGTTCCTGCAGCAGGGGCTCTCTGGGCAGCTTCTGCTGGTCTGGCTGGATCTGGGTCTGCAGGATCCAGTTACTGCCCAGTACCTGCAGCCTGTGGCTTCCACCTCACCTGCCTGGGTGGAGGAAAGGTGATCCCCAGGGCTGATCATGTTGCAGGCACATAAAACACAGAGCTAACAAACCCCTGGCCTTTCCCTTCTTTAATTTCTGGCACTCTGAGGCATAAGTGAAGCAAATGCTGGGGCTCATTTGGTCAGAGGAATCCTGGTGCTGTTGAGTCTGTCCTTGACCTGCCAGTTTGCTGCTGGCCCTGGGCTTGTGTTTTTCACAGCTGTGCCATTGTGGTGTTGTTCCCCCAGGCCGGGGCAGTTGCTGGGCTCTCTGCATCTCCTGAGCTGCAGCTTTGGGGTGGGAACCTGTGGGTTTGCCTTGTGTGGGGTGGTGGAGGCCACCCCGAGGTGCTGCAGGGCAGGGCTGGCTCCAGCCCTGGGCAGGCTCTGCCTGGGCTGCTCTGCAGGCTCTGCGTGTTGCTGTTGGCTCAGCCCCGGCTGTGCCGGAGCCACGGGGGCTGGGGAGCCACGGGGGCCTGGACATGCTGCAGGGGGACGTGCCAAAGACACCACAAACAGGATGGAGCTGTCAGCAGGGGGAGAGTTGGCTTTGGCGCTGGGGGGAGAGGGGCCTGTGGGACCCCAGCAGAGCCCTGGGAGGGCAGGGATGGCAATGCTGGGTGTTGGGTGATGGCAACGCTGCTGTTTGAGGGGTGGGTTGAGGTGGTCAGGCTTGTGGGAGCTCCAGTCTCCGTGGTTTCCTTTTAATTTTGAGGTTTCTCAGAGGTCAGGGTGCGTTTCTGTTCTGCATCCATGGGTGAAAGGAGAGCACAGCACTGCTCTGGTTTGTCTTGGCTGGACCGTTGCAAGGCTCCCTGCAGCATCCTTAGGGCAGCCTGGATTAGCCCAATGTCCCAGGGACATGGAGAAGAGCTTTGATTTCTGCCTCGAGGGGTCCAGGGTTAATCCCCAGCTCTGGCTGAGCTGCTCAGCTCTCCCAGCTGTGTTGGAAGAGGGAACAGAGGAATTACAGAAGAAACCAGGTTCCCAAAATCTGCTCACTGCTTAGAAGTGCATCTTACCCCCCTGAAAAATGCCAAAATACTCACAGTGTGCAAGTCCCAGTGCGGATTTCTGCTTCAGGCTCCCCAAAAATAGGGAAAACTTCCCCAGGGCTTGTGTGTCAGCTGGGCCACAGCTTCATCCAGCCCAGCCTCACACTCTGCAATCCTCACAGAAATTGTGCTTTGAAGCTGGATGAGCTGTCAGCACGGGAAGTGTCACTTAAATGTGTGCCCTGAAATAAAAGGCTAATAAGGAAATATTTTTCATGTACAATAATACAGCCCTGCAACTCCAGATACCCATTCTGGGGAAAAAAAAATTCCTTCTTTGAAGATATTCTGTCTCCAGCTGAATAATTTAATCAGCAAATAAATACCAGCGTTTGAAAGCTCTTACATTAAAAATTGAGTATCTTTAGAATAATAAAATAATAATAATAATAAGTCCCACATGTGTATCATCTCTGGTGCAATTAGGCCCAGCGTGGTGCTGGCAGCCCTGCTGAAGCCATTCCTTTAGCACTGCTCTGTGGTGGCAGCAGCAACTTTGATACCAAATATATAAAATTAACACTCCCCAACCCCAAGCAGCTGTTGGATGTGGGTTTTTATTTATCCACAGAGCCTGGTGGAGTCCCACTGGGAGAAAGCTGAGGAACAGCAAGGCAAAGACTGCTGAAGGGGAAAATGACTGAGCCCCTGAGCTCCAGGATGTTTTCCTGGGAGTGATCCCTCCATCACCTTTATCCCCAGGTTTCAGGCAAACACAACACCCAGCAGCTCGTGTGTGACATTATCTCACTTTTCAGAAGGGTGAAGTGAAGCTCGTTTGGGGAAATCTTCACTCCCAGGGAGATCCAGGAGTTTCCTGGAGGGGAGTGAGTTCAGGACCCTGGGATGGCTGCAGTCAGGTCAGTGGGGATGGGAACGCTGTTCCCACAGCTGCACTGAGACCCTGCCCAGTCCTGAGGGTGTAATTTAGGCAGTCAACCAGGAGAGCAAATTTTCCTGAGCCACGGGGCTGGAATTTGCTTTCTGTGAGATGTTTTCACATTTCCATTACATTTTATGTCCATGAAAACCTCATTACAGGAGCAGGGATGTAATGCCGTGAGCGGCTTGAGCTGTCCTAAAGCTGTGAGTGCTCAGACTGAAGGATGCTTGGGTTTGATTTTTTGGAGAGCACGTATTTTTCTGCTATCCAAAGGTCAAAGCAGAGCTGCCAGGAGGGTGGTGGGAGATGCTGTTGAGCAGGAGGAGCCCGGGGCAGGCAGTGGGTGCTGCAGGGGAGCAGCTGAACCTGCAGCTCCTTGAAACGTCTCCTAAAGGCTCCTGGCTTCCCTCCCAGAGCTGGGAACATTTGGAAGGGGGAGCAGAGCCTGGCTTCCCTCAGTGCTGCTCCACTTCACTTTGTGAAAATGCGAAGGCTTTGGATGACGCACCGTTCTCAGGAGATGGAGCAGGAGAGGGGGGATGGATGGGGCTGACGGGGAAAATCCACTGAAAATCAGGTTTCCCAATAAGAATTTGTTCAAATGTGAAAGCTTGAGCTCGGCCTGCCCCAGATGTCCCTCTGTGACCCCTCTCTGTGCCCACCATGGTGCCCCTGCTCTCAGGCTCTTCCCAAATCCAGCTTGGTTCCCACAGGCAGGTTTGCCAGTTTTCACTTGCTGCCTCCTGCTCCAGGGACAGCTCAAAACCCCTCTTGGAACCCCCCTGGCACAACATCCCTTTCCACAGGCATTCCCTGTGCTCTCCAGGATTCATCTAAGGCTCAGAGATGCCTCTTGTCACCCCAGCAGTCCCCAGCCAGGATGCTCTGGGAGCACAAAGCACTCCCAGGTTTCCCGAGTGTTTTGGATGCCACACAAAGGATCCTGTTTATTCCAACCTGCCTTTTGCAGTTTCACCAGCACACACAGACCTGAGAGCACGAGGGGCTGCGAAGGGACCTGTCTGGTTTTTAATAACAGCATCAGTTGCAATAAATAGAGATGGTTGTTTGGGTCTTAGTCACCTAATAGCAATGTTTGTGCTTGAAGACATGATTCAGCTCTTGCAGGCTGTTCCTCACCTCACATCCTCCATGGGGTTTGGGAAATGATGGAAGAAGATTTGTAAGAGTTAAGAGTTCTACAGCGTGTGTTTCACTTGTTATTTGATATTTAATGTCCCTTTGGGCATTAAATAAAAGTAGAAAGCTGAAAACCAAGCCAGCAAACCTGAGCACTGACACAGCAGCCAAACATCTCTGTGGCTCCCAATGTGCAGATGAAGGTGTCTTTGCTTCTGATTTAATGGCTTGATTGATGAGACTAAACCCATGTCTTTATAGCCAAGTTTCCTGCATTCTTCTTTTTTGTTTGGCATACATCAGTCTAGGAGTCACAGAGCTCTCTCCTTTTTTATGGTAAGTTTGATTATTCCTTCTTGAGATTAATGACAGCTTTGACAATTCCCTACCTCTGCATTCCTGGGTAACGACAGCCTCAACCCGCTGTGTGTTCTGCAAGTGCTGCTTTCAGCCTTGGGAGCACTGAGTTTAACAAGAGCTGGTGGAAAGAGCACAAACTTGTGTGAAATGCTGAGTTGTGAGGCCACAGGGCTGAGCGGGTTCCCCAAGTGCTCTCCCTGCCAAGATGTCAACTTGACACTAAAGTTGCTTATTTTGCAGTGGGCCGCTTTTTGCAGTTTTCCTTGTTGTTATTAATTCTCAGACTGTGCCCCGTGAGTTGCTTTTTTGATGCTTTTTTGGTGCTTTTTGCCTTGTCCTTTCATTCCCCGCAGGCTGTGTTTGTGCCTGGCAAATGGAGATTCACATGAAATTCATTTGACACGCACAACATCCGCGGCGTCGGAGCCTCGGCTCGGGCTCTGCTGTGATTCAATTCAGTCCACGCTCTGACAACATTTCCAGCTGGGAGCAGATCCGGTGTCGCTGTTCCTCACACCCTGGCTGCTCTGCTCTGCCCTGCACTGGGCATTTCTCCTGGGAGAAATGGGAGAAGTTTCAGCTGGAGCATTTCCCCTGGGCACCTCCTTGTCCCGAGGGTGGTGGGGTCCCTGCGTGATGCACCCAAAAAGGCAAAGCTTGCCCAAGTCTTGCGGGGAAACAGGAGCTGGATGCAGCTCCTGGGGCTTAAGTGATGTCCCAGCCCACCCTCTCCAGGAGCTGGATGGAGCCAGATGTGCTCCCGTGGTGCTCCAGGGCTGGGGAGGGTCTGCAGCCCCCCAGGCACGGCCAAGGCTCCCGCTGGTGGGGCTGCCCCTATTCCCTCCTGGCAGGGGGTTACTGGGGGCTGGAGCAGGACAGGGACCCCTGTGACACGAGTCCCTGGAGCCCTGTGGATGGCTGGACTCGATGATGTGCTCTGAGGATGACGACTTTCTCTCACTCTCGCCTCTGACTCATCCCACTGTTGCCTCCCACAGATTTATTTATTGTTCTCCCAGACGCAGAAACAGCAGAGTTGAGTCTCCCTGCCCTGTGCCAGGCCCCTCCTCGGCCAGCTGGGCTGGGATCTGCCAGAGCCCTGCACCCACCCCTGGGGGTTCTCACACAGGGGGTCTGCCCTCCCTGGCAGCCCCCCGTGCTGCCCCCCGGGCCTGGCTGTGCTCTGCAGAGCAGAGAGCTCTGGGGTCACACACAGCCCCTGGGCATGGAAGTGGCACTCGGGCTGTGCTGCTCACCCCCTGCCCAGGCAGAGTGTGCTGTCCTGCTCAGGGCCTGGCAGGAGTGTCGGGGTGCCGAGGGGGCTCCCCAGCAGAGCTGCTGGACTGAGGGAATCGAGAGAACAGCCCTGCGGTAGGAGGTGCATGAAATCGTTATTAATTGCATTTTGTGTCAGTGTCTGCTGGGAAATGAGGGCTTGTAGCATCGACAGCATTTTGGGGAGTGCTGCAGGAAGGACCAGCTCCAAAATTCTGAATGACACCTTTGCTGAGGGCACTGCCCTGCCTTCCTCTCTTGGTTTCAGGGAATTGCTCTGTGCTGGAGCTGGGAGCAGTCCCCAGAGCTCTTTCCTCAGGCAGGAT